CTCCACTACAAATGAAACCAAATTCCTTGAAAATGGTACCAAAATCTATAAAAATTATTATCAAAATCACTGCAAATGATATCAAAACCACAAAAAACTGAAAATACATGAAAATTGTCAAAAAAAAAACTCACCGTAAAACCTGTTATGGAAGGACCCCTTACCTTTTTAAGCTCAATTATCTCGGTTCCTGTCAAGGACAGAAAAAAATTGTCAGCTGATAAGTTGTTCATTATAATATCAAAATTGTTTTATCAGTTGACACATTTTTGGTATCTAGCAAATGGATCGAGATAATTGAGCTCAAACTTGCGGAATTTGATAATTTCGAAAATTTTAGACAGCGAGGTCTGTCTTTGGTATTGTCTCTTTTTCTCTCATTTCAAGAAATCTACAGTAATTAACTCTCATCATTCTCATCAAACGTTTAAACAAGACTATGTCTTAAAAAGACCCAATAAATAAGACAAGGGGAACCAAAAAGAAAAAAAATCCAAAATGAAAGTCAATGCAATTATCAGGCGGCAATCAAGCAAACAAGCACATTCCTATTCAAGTTTTTCGCTCTTTTTCTTTTCGGTTCCCTTTCTCCATTTTTCTGGTTTCTTATTTCTTTTTTTCACACCGAATCTGATACTTCTCTTCTAGAAATCATCAGTACTCAAAATTGGATCAAGTATCACACATTTAGGGATGACTCTTTTCTAGAAGAGAGAAAAATAGAGAGATAGAAAAATGTCTGATTCGATTTCTTCTGAAGACGTGAGGGGGAGGAGAAGGGAGGGCACCACTTCCGTCCGTACCCGTGTGTCTTCTCTCTTATTTTGTCCTGAAAAGACCAAATAATACAAAGTGATTTTGAATTTTTCTCATTTCCAGTTGAACATCACCAATTCTTTGAATCCTAATTCCCCCGCACGTCTTCTAAAATTGTAGGTTGCCACATTCGTTTCCTCTTCTTGATCTATCAGTCTACAATTCTTACGTCTTCTTCTTCTTTCTTCTTCCACACGACACGCAATGTGGCTCTTCAGAATCCTTGAAAAATGAAAATTATTGTTTTTCATTAGTCGTCTGGAACCTGTCTTGCACATTTTAAAAATACTCTTTATGAAAATAAAAAGTAGAATGCCATGTTAGATATCTGTCAAGTCTGCAAGAAAAGAGATTTCTAGAAGCTCTACTTTTATACCACATCATCTAGATTGCTATTCCTAACTATATAAATTATAAAAAAGTTTTGTGTGAATCTTTAATTTTTGCTCTGAATGACCAAAGAATTTGAAACAATCCAGATATTTAAATTGAAGAAACAACAACCAAACTGACCAGTATTTCCTCTAATAGAAGCCCACCCAAATGATTATCCTTGAGCTCAATTATCTCGGTTCCTTTTTGAAAGGCCACTTGGCTGATTTTGTTGAGCCATTTGAAGTTGTTAATTATACAATGGAATGAGAACTCCAATTTTGTAATTTAATTTTTACGAAACGATTAAAAAACAGAAAAATTCAAAAAAGCCATGATTACAGCTAGGCTCGGGTCTGGTTTTGATGCATTTCTTTAAGAAAAAAGGTCAGCTACAAAATGAAAACTCTGATTTTGCTTACCTATGATAGTTTTCAATTTATCGTAAAACATGTTTTAGTAGAGGTGCCCCCGCACTGTCAAGTTTGAGTTACTTTATCTCGTTCCCTGCGAAAGATATCAAAAATGTATCAACTGACAAAATACTTCTGATATTATGATAACCATTTTATCAGTTGACAACTTTTCTATATCTTTGACAGGAATCCAGATAATTGAGCACAAAATTAAAAGTTAGGCGGCCCTTCTAACACAGGTTTTACAGTAATCTTTAAAATATTAAATTGTAGTTTTCCACTTATGATGACGAGCGGAATCCAAATGACATCGTTTGACATCATTCTGAGTTTTTCTTCCCTTTCAAAACTCTAATTACATCCCCCTCCCTCTCTCTCTCTCTCTGTTCACTTGTAATTTTTTTGCTTTCAAACTTTTTCAGGAATGTTTTTTTCTGCTCAAATCACGAAGTACAAAAATTTTCCCACAGGATTATTATGTACACCTTCTTCTTCTTCTTCTTCTTCTTCTTCTTCTTCTTCTCTTTCTTATTTTCTGCTTATTCTTAATCTTACTCATTCTATCCGGCTCTATTTCTCTTTCTTTCCCTACGAAAATTCTTATTTTCTCTTTTTATTTTTTATCATTATCACTGATTGACGTCTTCTTCTCTTCCAATTTTGTTTTTGTTCTAGAAAACAAGAAAAGAAAGAAGTCGTGGATTATGTAAATATTCTGAAGAAGACGAATCCTGGAGTAGTTTTTTTTCCCAAAAAAAAGCGAGAATTTTTGAAAAAGAAGTTAATTCTCACCCAAAAGAAAAAAGTGAAGTGCCTCCGCCTCATCCGTTGTTTCTCTTTCCTTTTTTTCCCCACTTTTTTCGTTGAAAATCTCAGAAAAGGGGAGTCGCTTCCAAATTCAATTTACAGCTTTTCTCAGAGAATTCAGGAGAAGAAATCCTTGAAATTTTCTCTTGATCTTTGTATTCAAACCGATAATCATCTTATCATCCAGATTTTGGATTTTCGTGTTTTCTGAGATGAGAAATAACATCAGAATATTGTACAAAAACAAGGTGGTCACCAAATTATAGGATCTGTAATAGAAGGGCTTTCACCCTGTAAAGTTTGAGCTAATTCATCTCAATTCCTATTTGAGATATCGAAAATGTGTTAACTGATAAAATGTTAGCAGTATCATTTCAAACAAGTTGACAACTTTTTCATATCTTTGACAGGAACCGAGATGAGTTAACTCAAAGTTAAAAGAAACAGGCTCTTCTATTACAGGTTTCACGGTAAATTTAGAATATTATTTCCCAAATTCAGGAGAATTTTTGCTTCTCGCGTTCCTCGAGAATTTGACTTCTATGTCATAAGTGTTAATTTTTCAAATTTCATCAAGTATCTCCGGAATCTCTCCAGAATCTCTCTATCCAAATCCATTGTTTGGTTCCTTTTTTGTATCTACATTTCTTTCACTTCTCGAATCTATCCAAAATCCACGAGACACACACTGAGACAGCCAAAACCAAAAATCAAGTATCTCCCAGAGTTACAGCGAAAAATTCTTTCACTTTTTTTACTTTCTCTTTTCCTTTTACTAAAAAAGAAACAAATAGAACATTTTTCGTTGTCTCTCCAATCAAGAGGAGGAACACAACATGTCACTTTTGATGATACGGTCCCTAGAGAACATAGAAAACCCTCCATTTTCATCCATTCTTGTCAATGTCTCAAGAGCACAATTTTCATGTTTTGCACATCTCTTCTTCAACTTTTGAAAAAAATCTCGTGGTTTGGGAAAAGATCGATAGAGGTCCCTTGTTTTTTAATGCTGTTTTCAGTATGCATTTTTCGCAATTTTAGAGATTTTGAGGGGTCTACTATTTTCAGATACCGTATCTTTTTTTTGATAATCATAAAAACAAATTTCAATATTTGATTCGATTTATAACCTCTAAAACTTTCAGACTAAACTGACAAGTATTAAATACCTTAAGACCTGTAATAGAAGAGCCCCCTAACTTTCAACTCTAAGGTAATTTATCTCGGTTACCGTTGGATTTGAAAAAGTTGTAAACTGATAATATGTTTATCATTGTATCAAAAATGTTTTATCAGTTGACACACTTTTGATATCTTTCACAGAAAGTGAGATAATTTAGCTCAAACTTGACCCTTCTATCACATGTTTGTTTTCGAATAATGGGATGATTTTCATGAGCTGTAACCGTCAACTTTTTGCTCATTTATCTCGGTTCTTGTGAAAATATCAAAAATTTGTAAAAAAAATATTGGTGATATTATGACAAACATTATATCAGTTGACCCCCTTTTGATATCTTTTACGAAAATCGAGATAATTGAGCTCAAACCCACCAAATATTCAATAGCTACAAGATGAACTACCGTATTTTTTCAAATACAAGCCTACCAAAAACCGTCATCTTAGAGCTCAATTATCAAGATTCCTGTAAAAGTTAGAAAAATTACTAACATTTTTTCTTTTTTAATTCAAAAAAGTTACCCAATTTTTTGTTGGAAATTTTTCAACTGTGTTAGGCTGGCCGGGCCGCGGGCCGGACCGCACCGAAAAAATTCGTCTACCGGCCCGGCCTTTTGCAACTATGCAATTTATCAGTTGACCACTTTCCGATATCTTTCCCAGGATTCGAGATAATTGAGCTCAAAGTTGACGGTTTGGGTGGGCTTCTAGTAGAGGAAATACGATGATTCTTATTTTCTGTAACTTCTTTGGAAAACGGGATTTTTTTGTAGTTTTTAAAGATTGGAGACTGAGCAATATTCCCCAGAAAGTCCAACAAACATATGTCTAGACTCATTTTCCGGATCTTATTTCCCCAATCAGTTCTCAAAATCCTTCTTTTTTCCTTCTTCAAATTGTTCATTGCCCAAACCTTTCAATTCCCTTTTTCCTAGCTCCTTGGCTCTCCGTATAGCAATTCTTATCCAAATTCCCATAAAACTGCCGGCCTTTTCCTTCTTCTTCTTCTCTTCCCGTTCGCTCCCATCTTAATAGTCGCCCATATAATAAAAAAAGGAACCAAGAGACCTTTTTTAACCCCCCGAAATGGCAATTTTCGACTACCCCGATAAAACGAGAACATCTTCTTTCTTTTAAAATAAAAACAGGGGATCTAGGCTGCCATTCCTAACAAGCTAAAGTGGTTTCTGTGTTCCTCCTCAAAAAAATTTAGTAGGATGAAAAAATGAGAGGAAGAAGAGGAGAAGAAGAAGGATCGAGTTACATATACTACTTCACAGAAACAGAAGAGAATAGGAAAAATTAGACACTCTTGGTCAGCTATTTTTATTCCATTCCATTATTGATATTTTAATATTTTACTACCGTATTCCCAAAATCTCCATTATTCTAATTTATCATCTTTCAGCATGACATCTCTTCTCCGTAAAATGCTCCGTACTCGACGGGTCGATGAACAATTTCTCCGGCATTCCGAATGGGCGCGTCGTCTGGGAATTCCTCTTATGGTCGCCTTGGCTGGAATCAAAAGTATTTCTATGATGCTCTTCATTATTCTCCCGTTCTCACTGACTCAAGTCGCTGGCCCAAGTACTGTTCTGGCATTGATCTTTGCCTTTTTGATCATTTTCTTTACTGGTGAGTCGTTGTACCGTAAAACCTATTATATGAGGGTCCCTAACTTTTCACTTTGAGCCAAGTTTTCTGTTCCCAATGATAGACAAAATTTTTCAATTGATAAATTGCTTATCATAACATGAAGAACATATTCTCAGTTGACACATTTTTGCTATCTTCCATGGGGATTGAGATAATTCGGCGCAAACTTGACAGTACGGAACAGGATGTCCGGATTCCGTTTTTTTTTTCATTCCGGATTTCGTGAAAAATATTTTTGTCCGGATTCCTTATTCCGGATTTCGAGATATTTTCATTTTTCGGCATTACGGATTCCAGACTGCAAAAAAAAATTCCGGGTTTTAAGCATTTGTATTAATTTGCCAGAATTCTCTGACTTTTTTGAACTTCATCGATAACAATCCAAATTTAAAGCACGATATGTGTTTTTTACAACTTTTCTGCCCATGTGGTGAACTCAAAATTTTACCCTCCGGATTCCGTTTCTCAAAAAAGTCATTCCGGAAGTCTCTGCATTGTGGGGCCCTTATATTACAGGTTTTAAAAAATCAATCAAAAACAATTAAGTTTTTTCAGCTGCTCATCTATCGGAACTATCCTGTACTATGCCCAAGAATTGTGCACAATATCATTTTGCATACGCAGTTGTTGGAGAGCTTCCCGCTTTCGTTATCGCCTGGATCAGTTTGGTGGATTATGTCGCACAGGCGGGACTATTTTGTAAAGCATGGGCAGATCATTTTGTGAGATTCTCATCAATTCGAAATAGATCCAGTCATTCTTTTCCAGAATCTTCTCTTCCGTGGCCTTCCTGCCAAATCGTTGACTTTTGACGTCTTCTCTCCGGATTCCTCAATTCTCTCCCCACAAGTTGATCTTCTTACCGTACTCTCCGCCATCATAACTCTCTGTCTGCTTCTTTGTTCTCTTCGAGTCGTCGGAACGATTTGCGTCTCTCTTTTAGCTGTAACACTCCTGATTGCTGCTTCATGTACTATGGTTTCATTCTTCCACTCGGACCCAGAGAACTGGATCAAGGCAGAGTTCTTCCATTATGGATATAAAGGGGTTTGTTCTTCCATTACGGATATGAGACTAGCAACTGATTTCAAAAAAGTTTTAGGTGCTCTACTCGATTTGTGCTCTTTGTGCGTGTTATACTGGAATCGAAAGTACATCTTGTCTTTTGGAAGAAACGAAGAATCCAAGAAAGCGAATTTCTGGAGTTTTATCCTTTTTAGTTTTGGTTCTCACAACTATTTTCTTCATTTTGGCAATTACATTTAGGTGAATCTTCTTGATTTTGAGAAAGAATTTTTTGTAATTTTTGACATTAAAATGTTCCCGAAGATACCCTAGAACCTGTAATAGAAAGACCCTCTTTCAACTTTGAGCCAATTTATCTCATTTTCTGTGAATGATATCAAAAAGTTGTAAACTGATAAATTGTTTATCATAATATCAGATAAATTTCATCAGTTGGTATATTTTTGATATCTCTCATAGGAGCTGCGATAATCAAGCTCAAACTTGACAGTGTAGGGGACCCATCTATTACTGGTTTTACAGTATGTATTTGCATACATATAAATTCGAAAGACTTTTTTGAAATTTTTCGAAGTAATATTATCGAAATACATAACTTTGGAAACATTTTAATGACCTGAGTCCCACCTTGAATTTTGAAGAAATCTTGAATTTTTCAGTTTATCTACAAATGTGACAGCGTTGAGTGAAGGAATCATGATTCCAGAAGTTTTCTCGGCGATAAACATTCCAGCTGCCAAGTGAGTTTTGTTGTAATTCACTGAAAATTTCTAAGAATCACTTCACCAAATTTTCGCATGATAACACACAAACACTGAATATTTTCTGGGAACTTCTAGGCACATTTCACTGTTTTTTCTTCGAAATTCTGCATGGATCCACATTTCTTCAAAATTCATTTTCCCTACTTCTTCTTGTCACACATTTAGATCCACAACCAAATATTGGGTCCGTCGGTTTCCGATGATATCCACTGATACCACTGCCACGTCATCACCCATTTCATCATCCGCATTCAGATCCTACTACGAACAGGGTTTTATTCGAATGCGGTTCGTTTTCCACACATATGCTTTATCCTTTTTTCATTCTATCATTTTAGCTTGGTAATGCTCCTGTTAAGTTTTGCTTCTTTCTAATTTCTATAGATCAATTGGCTTCTCTAATAATTTCAGAGTGTCTGACATTTCTGATTTATTTAAATTATTCATTTTTCAGGTACATGCTCTCTGTGTGCTCAGTTTGTGCACTTTCCGGTGGAGTTCTTGCATCATTTCTTCCTGCGACACGTGTCATTGCTGCTCTTTGCCATGGTAGGTACTAAAAACAGAAACTGAACAGGAAGCGGAATCTTCTGTCTCCTAGATGGTAAAACTTTTTCCTATACAGTACCGATCCAATAAGATATACCAAAAATCATTTTTCAGTTTATTATACTGAAGATCGGCTGTCAAGTGTCGGAGAACTTTGAACTTTTCGGACTGTGTAAAACAGACCTAGATTGAAAACTTTGCATTCACAGAAATTTTTAAAATTTCCTAGTTTTTCATCTATTTGCCGATTTCTGAAAGACACCCCTTCTTGAATTGTGAAGGTGAAATAAACGGACACAACGGTTGGTCAAAACCGGACCAAAAAAGGGCCAAAGATAAGTTTAGAATGGCCCAAAACGGCTTAAAAATAGGTCGAAAACCGACAAGAAACAGGTTGAGAACTTGTCGAAAACGGACCAAAAACGGGCAGAAAACTGGCTAAAAACAGGTTGAAAGCTGGTTAAAAACAGGCTGAAAACGGCTTAAAAACGGGCTGAAAGCTGGCCAAAAAACTAGATTTAAATGATCGAAAACTGACCAAAAACGGACCAAAAACGGGCAGAAAACTGTGAAAAACAGGTTGAAAACGGCTTAAAAATGACCAATAACGGTACAAAAATGCTGGTCAAAAATAAGTTTTAAATAATTGAAAACGGGCAAAAAATCAGTTTGAAATGGTCGAAATTGACCGAAAACGGACCAACAACGGGTCAAAACTGAATTGAATACGGACGGAAAACGAGCAAAAAAATAGGTTAAAATGGTCAAAAACGGCATCCAAACACAGGCAGAAAGCTCCCTCCATCTAAAAAAAAATTAAAAATTCCAGATCGTCTGGTTCCATATGCCCGAGATACTTCTACTAAAAGTCCATACTTTGCTGTCCTCCTTTGCACTTTCCTTGTGGCTCTTTGCTCAATGATTCAGAAGACTCTGCTTCTCAATTTTGTAATTTTCATGGCTCCAGCCAAACTAGTCATTACGGTACTATCTCCTCTACAGAGCTTAAAATCTTCCTTCATCCTAGATTCTCCTTGTCTACATCCAACACTATTATCCTGAACAAATCGGCATTCCAGAAGAAACTTCCGGTTATAAATCAATCGGAAAGAAAAGAACACGAGTACATATCGATGATGGTGTCTCAGTTGATGATTCCATTTCTTTGATGCCACAAAGATCTAAAAGAGCAGACGATGATGAATCAGAAGTCAGTCATTCGACGTTTGATACAACGGCGTTTTTGTATATGAAAGCTACGAAAATGGAGACGGAGAGATTGCAGAGGAGATTGGAGAAGGTGAGAGGCTTACTGTAGCACAGTTGTAACCAGTTTGTGATTTTCGCTACGTTTGAACGAGATTTCAATATATTTCGATCGGTGTCGAAAATCAGACACTCCGATTTCATGTGAGGAATTGTATGGCCTAACTTTCTCGACATGGTTTTTCTAGAGAACCGTAGTTGATGGCCACCAATTTTCATATCCACATGGTGCGTTTTCTAGGCCATTTTAACATGGTTGCCTAACTTTTGCAAGTTGAGTTATCTAGGCCATCATGGTCAGGAAACACAACAGGTGTGCATCAGGGCATTACTAGCCCATTTACCATGGTGGCTCAAAAACTCAACTTGCAAAAATTAGGCCGCCATGCTGAACCGGCCTAGAACTCACTGAGCCGAACGTTCAAAAACACACACTGGTAACAAAAAATGAATTGAAATTTCAAATTACTGAGAAATCGAAACTAGTGTTTTTTTTTTCTAAAACTTAGAATTTTCGGATTGTCCTCATGGAATTTCTGAGACTTGAGAATATTGAAAAAAGTTTTTTTTTAATTCATTGAATTTCTGAATTTCCAAATTTTCAGAAGTGGTCCAACTTCTGGAAATCCTGGATTTTCCGACTCTTCTGGGAATTCTGGATTTTTGAATTTCTGAACTTCCAAGTTTCTGAATTTCCAAATTTGTGGTTTTCTGAATTCTGAATTTCTGAACTTGTGATGTTCTGAATTTAAATTCTGTATTACAGGAAGACAATGAAAATGAAGAACGGCAACCAGTTCTTGCCAAATCCGTATCCCAATACCATTCAATGGATCAGCAAGTTCAGAAAAATAGAAAACCAAGCATCAAAAAACATGAGCATAACTGTGTAGCTGAGCAATGTGGAGCTGACAATGATGATGGTTTCCCACTCACCTTTCAGATAATTTCTCATAAAATATTTTTCAGACTACAACTCCCAAGAAGTTCATTTATTCGCCAATGAGGAACCTGAACTCCCCTTCTTTTCCACCTTCTCCTCATCAGCCCCACGGCCACCATCTCCAGATGTTAGCTTCTCCAATTTCCATAAATCTCAACGTCTTCTATTCCTTTTCTGTTTTATGACTTCTGCATTCTCAACTTTTCTTCGAAACTTTGCGATGCCCACGACGACTTGTTGGCTTCTAAGTGCCGGATTCGTTATTATAATTTTGGTGTTCAGTGTGAATATTAACAGGTTGCAAACCAATGATTATCTGTACAAGTCAGTGGAAATTTTTTAAAAATTTGACATAGAAACTGTCAATTTTCAGAAAAGAAGCGAAAGTGACACTCTTCCCAACTGCATCCTTATTTGCACTATTTCTTCTTTTGGTTTCTTTTTTCGGAAGTGTTCCAGTCAACACATTACTTCATTTAGTCATTATCTTCTTCAGTGGTAAATTTAGCAGAAGAAAATTGAACAATTAAAAATGATATTTTTTCAGGAATCATTTCCTACTTCTTATACGGTTACCGACACAGTAAACATCGCAAGACGGCATGCTTGGTGATTGAGAATCGATATTCGGATACTGTTGATGAAGATCAATACTGCCCGATTGTTGGGCTTGATACGAGCTCAAGTTTTGATGCCTAATTAATTTTTTAATCAATGTTTTGATCTCTGTGATTTTTGTGTTGTTTTATTTTGTGATCTCGATGTAAATTAATAAATCTAACGGGAATTTGGTTCAGAGCAGTGTGTTCTCGGAAAAAAAATCGACGAAAACATTTTTCGAAAAATGCCCGGAGTTTCGTTGCTGAAAATGTGTTCTCGTTTTTTGTCATTTTGACATGACGGCCTAACTTTTGCAATCTGGGTTTTCAGCCCACCAACTATTTTAGGCCTAGAAATGACCTAACATGACCCTGGTGTGATTTTTAGCTCATTTTGGCATGGTGGCCTAACTTTTGCAAGTTGAGTTTTTAAGGCCACTTCATTGAAATAACCTGGAATACACATGAGATGAATATCAGGTCATTTCTAGATCCTTTCTACATGGTGGCCTAGAAAACCCAGCTTGCAGAAGTTAGGCCACTATATCAAAATGTATTCGTTTCGAAAAATGTTCTCGAGATTTTTCGAGTAATTTTTCAAAATATTTTTTTGAATTCTGATAAAATTATGCTATCATTGAAGACAGAAACTTGGAAAGTGGATCTTATTTTTGAATTTTAAGCAATCCAAATCTCTGAATTCTTATATAGTCTTTCCTTTTTCACTATCAGTTCCATTTTTCATATGGTTAACAAAAAATTTTATTTGAAAAAAAGATTAACAAAAACAACAGAAATGCAACTTGTGCTTGAAATCAACAGTGAAAAGTGGTTTCATCTCAAATTCAATAAATCGAATGAACTGCTACTTCTCATAAATCAACGGATCCATTTTGGAAATCCACTCCTTGCAGTTATCATCGTATTCTGCTTTCTTCATTTTTGCGGAATTCACCATGAGACGGAAAAACTGAAGATGATCATCAATTCCATTCATTTCATCTAACGATGTTCCAGAAGAATATGACGATCCGGATTGTTGGTACGAATTCTGACTCTTCTCTTGTTTCTCGACCTGCAATTATTCACTTTGATCATACTTGCTAAATCTCGGCCCGGCCCGCCGGACCGGGTTCCGAAAATTTCAAAATTTTTCTGTTGTTTTTTAATACGTTTTTTTGAAAATAATCATTTTTAAGCACGAAATTTATCCCAGGACTCTTCTTAAAGCTGAAAACAACGAAATTTCGAAAAAATGCTCCCAAAAATCCAGGTTTCTCTCAAAAAATGACTCCTAAAAATTTTTGCCTCAAAAAACCCGGGCCAGGCCGGGCCGGGTCGGGCCAGTGAAAATTCCTCCACCGGCCCGGCCCGCGACATGTATGACTTTGATGATCTGTTGAAAATAACTTAAACTACCTAGTACGATCGGCGAAATGCTTTTTGAATTCCTTGAATTTCTTATAGTATCCTGCATAGGTAGAAAGTTGGAAAGTGGATCCTATTGTCGAATTAAAAAAAGGGGGTACGACAAATTCGAACGTTTTCAAAATCGAACAGACCTAAAGTCGAATTGATTCAAATCAGAACAGTGTCTTTCTCGAACAAGTATCAAAACAGAACAAGGACAGAATCGAAATGTTCTAATTTGAACTGTGCACTGTCGAACTGTCCCAAATTGGAACGCTGTTAGCCGCCGAGCGCGCTTGCATTATTT